CTTTATGTTTTAAACAAATTTATTTATTTATATCAACTTCTTCCATTATTGATACAGTAATATGTTTCCATTTTGGCGCCATTTCATAATTGTTAACGTTATCATTTCGTAAGACGGACGAAATATAAGATTTTGCATGGCTTCAGAAGCCGCTTCTCGAGCGATGGTGACGTTTCCACGCCTGCGCTGTTCGGGCTATCAAGGTTCGTTCGAATTATAACTTGTGTTATTGTTGGTATTAGTGGTGGTTCAGATTATCGAGGTTGTACTGTATACAGGTGCTTACATACTAATGAGTAATAGGTGACATTGTTCCAAAGTCCTTAAATTCGGATAGAGATACTTAAAAAGACTAAGAACGTATTTGGGAATGTTTGAACCATAAACGAGGAAACGCAAACAAAGTACATTGAAGTCAAAAAGTATTTACTATAATAAACTACAATGATTTGTCAAAATCGTCAGACGTAGATTGCGGACTCAACATCTTTAGATCTCATCAGCACACCGTTGATATCAGCCAATTTACTTGCTGCTTTTAAACAGCGTTTACAAGGTAATTACGGACTGCGTGGTGAATGCCAGCGGCAATTTTTCTATTAACTACCAAACATATTATTTATAAAATAGGTAGAAAAGAAAAGTGTGCAAAATTCCAAATTAAATACTACAGAAGATTCACTTGTACATACAAATTATTGCATTTAGTGTTTGCGTATGTGTTTTTCCCTTTATCTTTTCTTTCTGCTCGGGCAAATGGCTATTACATTAGAAAAGAAAAGAAAAGTAGTTTTAAAGGTGTAATGCCTTCAGGCATTGTTAATACCACTCGTTCCAATGAGTTTACCGTCAACCTCAAGAGTTAGTGACTTAACTCTCATCTTAAACTATACAGAAAACAAAAGTAGAATCATATTTGACAAACAGAGGTTGCCACATGCAGGTATCAAGTTTATCATTTGATTTCTTTTTCCCTCAAATTAAACTATTCACTATAAATCTGATTTCCAAAACAAAGGATTAGTATCCACATTTAGATATAGAATAAATGACTTCACAGAAATACGATGGCAATTTACAATTTTTAAAACATTTATCTGTAGAACTCTGATTAAAACCATGCAGCTGAAGCTAATTTTCAGATTTTATTTCAGATAATCTATTGTTGATTACATTTCGAAGAAGAATTTGCGTTTTGTCAAGACCGAAACTAAGTCAACATTAGATACCACAAACAAAACCTTCACATCAGTAATTTTCACTCTTTGTTCATTTTTTTCCATCACTGAATTTGCTTATAACTGTACTAACAGATATAAAGAGGTAAAATTTGTAAATTTGGATATAGAAAGTACCTAATCTCCGAATTGGTTACTCAATTTTAAAACTTCTATTACTAATATTTACAATGAAACATTAGCGTGTACATGAACTGTAAGTTATACTCCATTGAAATAAAAATGCTTGTGTACACAACATATGTATTTATACGTTAACGTTAATGTTCATGTGATAACGCGAGTTATTATAACAAAAGTTAATTCAAATCAACTTCGAATGATTCAGTTACTGTTATATTACGAAAACTAATCGGAGATACGATAAGTTTACAAAAAGAAGTCGTGAGCTATCGTCGTCGTGGGTCCCATCTCCCACAACCCACACCGTGGAAGACATTTCTCCCGCGTTCGTTTTATTGAGGTTCTTCGGTGGTAGAGAAAGGAGGTATAAGCAAGCAGCCGCCGTGTCGCGTTGATGGACATGTGAATGGACTTCTCAGCACATTCATGAAGCTTTTACACCTCGAAGAATGCGCGCCATGCATACACGCGAACCGCAAAGCCGCGCATTGAACGCTTCGCATTCGTATCTATGCAGTTGTCTTTGTATGTAGGTACCAGGTAAAATAATGAAAACGAACAACCTGGTAGATATAAACAAAAAGAACGGGCTCAAAGGACGAAAACAACGGAGTATGAAAAGAGGCCCGAATTCCACAACAAGACGCTCACTCAATAAAAAAAGCAAAAAGAAAAAAGACGACCAAATAAAATCGTGAAACGAACCAACTGACAGGATCCAGGTCTATCCAGATAAATTTACAACGTAGATCGACGTTAAATAGCAGGAAATGAAATTTTTACACGACAGGTTATAACCGACAAAAAGTCCTTCACATACACTGTAGGATGTTTATGAAAAGAAAATTCATAAAAGTCGACTCTATACGTAGATATGACGATTAAATATATTTAAAAATGTAGGGATGAGTTACAGAGATAGAACAGTGATACTTAGTTTGTATGTAGACCGACAGACAGTTATAGAGCTGGAGCTGCAACGTAGAGAAGCAAATATTAAGAAGAGAGTCAGACAAGGATGTACATTGTCACCGCTACTTTTTAATCTATAGATCGAAGATGCGATCAATATCATCAAAGACAGTACAACTATACTGATAGTTATACAGAGGCAAAAAATTACTATGCTTAGATTTGTAGATGATATATGAGTATTAGCATATAGCAAGGAGGAGTTTGAAATTGCTTTAAATAAAATGGAAGCGGTATTGATAAAACAGTATTGTATGAAAATAAATAAAGTAAAACAAAAATACTGGTATGCAAGGGAATAAAAAGTAGAAGAACAGCGAATATAAAAATAGGAGACGAAAAAGAAGTGGCTGATTTTCGGTATCTAGGAAGTCAGATAATTCAACACGGAAGGAGTAGTAGGAATATAAAGCAGACGATATCGCAGGGTCGAGTCGAAATAGGCGAGATGGGTTGGTAGAACACCAGGCATGAAGGTCTAGTCAGAGACATACTAGAGTCAGAAAATGGGACTTAAGAGGAGTAGAGGTAGACCTAGATTAGATTACTGTTTGCAAATAGAAGGATGCTCAGGGTAGGAAGGAGTGGAAGTGCGTGTCCAACCAGTCTTAGGATTGACGACCTTATGATGATGATGACAGTACTGACTGGTTGGACACGCATCTCAATATGTGTCTAGCTGGTTCCTCAAGCTTAGGAAAGTGTTCTTTCAACCTCTGTTTTAATAATGTCTCCTTTTTTCTAACTTTCTGTATCCACAGTGTCCTCATCATTCGCCTGTAGCACCACATTTCAGACACATCTAATATTTTCTTTTCACGTTTCGCAGAAATGATTTCTTTTAGTTAAAGGCTATTCGACCTTACGCTAACCTCTACTTTAAATCTCTACCAGTCTTTCCATCCTGAATTATCTGACTATGTAGATAGCGAAAATCAGCAATCATTATAAATATTTTATAAAACTATAATGAATGTTCAAAGTTGAAGGCCTCATACAGCCGCGGATTGACCCCCCTAACCTTATACACTTCCAAAGACAAGATAATTTAATAATAATTAGTGCTTGTAATTTCGTTAATATTTAGAAATACCTAATAATAATTCTCAACATTTCTTGCTGTTCTTCCCAAAAAGGCAACCTAAACATTTCTCGAAACATGTTCATGAAATAAGGAAACATAACTGCAGTTGAGAATCCTCACGGATATTTCGACTTTCATTTTGAACAATGAGTTGTGTTTTTAATTTCTCATATGTTTGTGAAGCATTTTTTCGAAAATCAAACTTACAATGAATTCACCACGTGATTAATGATGCAAATGTAGCTACATATAAAACATAAACAACACCTTACTAATTAAGACCCTAGAATTAATAATATATATTGTATTACCTATAGTATAAAAATAAAATTTTATTCATTTTGTGCTGCATTTTTTAAAAATCTGTTTTAAAGTATAAAAGTGCGGCCCCCCTTCATCTAAATGACTCCTAAAATCATTTAGATAACTACCTAAAGTAGAACAAGCTAGGGATTTATTCCCATATGTAAAGTTTTGTGAACTAAGGGAATATAGTTTCGGTTACAGTACGGATGCCAGCATGATTAAACTGTAAATGACATACACCATCGGCAACGGTACCCATTCGTCAAAGTTTGAACGGGTTCAACTAGTAGTGATAAGACACAATTTCCATTTTAAGGACGCTTTAAGTATATAAATTCGGACACTTAACGCTTCAAAATTTTCGAGACCTTTTATCATGCAGTGTTTCAAGGAAAAATTCTTCTACACGTTTTAGTTCGGTTCTAGTGTACTTGAGCACGATTCAAAAACAAAAGAACAATTCAGAGAATGGAATCGCACTGGTTCCCTCCGTGTCGTGTTCCAAAATAATAAGCAGAAAAGGCGCTACTTAGAACAAAAGACAAAACTATAACGGAAGCGATTCGTCAGTTTCTACTAAATTGGGGAAAGAATAAACGTAGCAGAAATTTTTTAAAAACTTATGAACAACGTATTTTGAATTTTTTTACTTCATTGCGTTTATGTTCATAGAATAAAATGTATGTTAGGTATTAATAAAAATGATACCAATATAAATTTCAAATAACACAAACGCGGAAACGAACTGGAGATGTATGCAATATTCAGGTTAGGATCAGAAACGAAAGCTAATAGGTATTGGCTACTAGAAAAGGAAAAATTATGCAGAATGTATAATAAAGAGGAAGAAATACTTCAACATGTCCTAGGAAAATGTGAGCACACGGTCTCAGGACCTCAGCAAAGAATGTAGAATATAATATAGATAAATAACACACGCACATAGTAAAAGAAAATTTGATTGAAATTTAGATTAGTATCATTTTTATTAAGTTATGAATTGTATTGTTTCACCGGCAAGATCGCAGTTAACATTATTTCAATTAAGTATTGATAGACTCCATTTTATATATGATATACTAAAATTTATGAACAGTATTTTTAGTAATAGCATTTCAATTTATAAAATATACATTTTGTACCTATGTAACCTTTATTTAATGTCAATACAAGGCAGTATTTCGGAATAGTTTTGAAAATTTTTTAATCCTTATCGAAGATATTAAACTGGACAGTTAGTAATAACAATGATTAGGTACCATGTGTCACTTACTTACCCGGCAGACAGCCGCCAGGACCGGACGTAGGAAAAGCTGATTTCAACTGCGAAAAACCTGAAAAAATAGTATAATTACCTTATTGAATTCATGAGAATAATTCAAAACTATGAAAATTGTTTATGAAATAATCATTATCAAAAAAAAATTATTATTACCTAATACTATTAGATTGATGTTTGATAAGCAGTTAGTAACACCTACTCAAAATTAATCCTTATATTAATTTCGGTGTTATATGGTTTTTCAAATAAAATGGAAGCGGTACTGACAGATCAGTACTGTATGAAAATAAATAAAAGTAAAACTAAAATACTGGTATGCAACGGAAGAAAAAGTAGGGAAAGAGCGAATATAAAGATAGGAGACGAAAAATTAGAAGAAGTGGCTGATTTTAGATACCTAGGAAGTCAGATAAGTCAGGAAGGAATGAGTAGTAGAGATATAAAGCAGAGGATAGAGCAGGGTCGTGTCGCCTTTAATAAAAAGAAGTCACTTCTATGCTCGCGAACCGTTAATTTAGAATTTCGAAAAAGGTTGTTAACGGTGTATGTTTGGAGCACGGCGTTGTACGGGTGCGAAACACGGACAGTGGGAGCGGCGGAAAAGAAAAGGTTAGAAGCGTTCGAAATGTGGTGTTATAGGCGGATGATGAGGATATCGTGGGTAGAAAAGGTTAGAAATGAAGAAGGTATTGGAAAGAATAGGAGAACAGAGTACTCTATGGAAGTCAATAAAAAATAGGCGAGATAGGTTGGTAGGACACCTTCTCAGGCATGAAGGTCTAGTCAGAGACATATTAGAGGCAGAAACAGGAGTTAGGAGGGGTAGAGGTAGACGTAGATTAGATTACTGTTCGCAAATAGCTAAGGATGTGGGCTGTTCTAGTTTTAGGGAAATGCAGAGATTAGCTCAGGATAGGAAAGAGTGGAGGTACGTGTCCAACCAGTCTTAGGACTGATGACCTTATGATGATGATGATGGTGGTTTTTCAGATATTTACACGTACTGCTCTCAAACAAATTTAACCCTATAGATAGAACCTACTCCAAGTTTTGTCCACGTGCTTATCGGTTAAAAATTATGACCGATTTCCAGCATGTTTCACATGATAAATATCGTTCGTTTAAGAGCCCCCTTAATACCATTCATCGCAGCAATAGGTATAGATTTACACTCATTTGATCATAAAGACCTGGCAATATCCTATTATGCGAAAATCTGCGCTCGTATTTTCACAAAAGAGCATTTCTGGCGGTCAAAACATATTTAAAGCGATCTACAATCAGACAAGCCAGTTTAGTCCTTAAGATCGGCAAGCCAAGGGAGCACTATCCCGTTTGCCGGACTTTTCTATGGGCCATTATGTCTGAATAGTGCCTTGTAAAGATCGTAAGTAGATTTAGTCGTCTCAGATTATCTACTATTGTGCGGTAGAATGTCGTGTGACGGCTAAGGCCATTCAACAAAATGCGGAAGCTACTGCGGTCGTGGGGTTCCGGATGGAGTGTTACTTGATAGTTTTAGTGGGACTGGTATGTTTCCAACAGTTCCATTAAAACGGTATTTAATCATCGAATTATAGCCATTGTACGTTAACAAATTGTTAAACCACAAACATCAACATATTATATATTACAAGCATATCAACTAAAGGAAAATATCTATTAGGAATATTAAAATCTCTGAATGTGAAAAAATATTTGGCATAATCATCAGAGATGTGATTTATTTGAAATAGTTGCATTTAAAATGAAAATACAAAATAAAAAATATCTATTTTTGTCGTANAATGTAAAGTAAACCAAAGTCAAGCAATTTCGACATTTTAAGGAGTTTGTCGTTAAATCGAGTGACGTTATAGAGTTTACACTGTACTTTCCCAAAGGTATTTTCTATTTCTAAAATGCAAAATACATTTTTGCCGTTAAAAGTTTTGCTAGTATTACCGATCAAACATTATATAAAATGGACAAGGGACGAAGGGACATTCCATGAATTCTTTTTAATCATAAACGGAAGAGATCCCAAAAAATTCTAAACTCCTGGGAAATGGATAATTTAAAATATTGAATCGATATTGTTTTATGGGGTCAATTTCGACATTTTAAGGAGTTTGTCGTTAAATCGAGTGACGTTATAGAGTTTACACTGTACTTTTCCAAACGTATTTTGTGTTTCTAAAATGCAAAATACATTTTTATCGTTAAAAGTTTTGCTGATATCACTGATCAAACACTATGTAAAATGATGAATGAAAGTTGATCACATTGGCTATTGAAGGTAACATAAACTTAAATATTTAACTGATGAGAGCCCAAAAAATTCTAAACTCATTGGAAATGGTTAATCTAAAATATTGGATCGGTATTGTTTTCTGGGTTCAATGTCTTGGTCCATGAAATCTTGAAGTTCCAAATCACCACTTATCGTACCTTTAGCAAGGTACCATGACAAAACAGCCCACAAAACAATATCGAATTGATATACGTCAGCTGTGTAAAACTGAATACTACAACATATTGTGGTGTGCCAATAAATGCCTATAATCCAAAATTCTTAGAAAACGATTCGAAAAACTTCACTAGTTAGATGAACCCAAAGCTAAAGAAACTATGGATTCCATTTATTTTTCTTATTACAATGTTTAAAAGATGGGAAACAAAATGAGGTTGTAAATATTTTGATATAAAATGACTGATGTTGATTTTACATCAATAAAATTATTTGCTCTGATCTTTCACGGTAAACAAAATATTTTGGCAGTATGTAACGTACATGCATACACCATCATCATCATGCCCATTATAACGCCTTCACCCCGAAGACACCCGTTACACACGCACCTCTCCACAATTCGTGTGCAATTAAGACAAAAATGACCCTTAAAGTTGACCACAAAGTCTAAAATTACGCTTCTTTTTTCTATTTGTCTGATTACCTTTCTGCCTCCTCTGTCTGCGTGTAAGGCTGAACCGATTTCAGTTCGATTTTACAAATATCTAGAGGGCATCAGGGGTAATATAGGCTACTTTAGTTAATTGTTTATTGATCATAATAATTGTATTTATTACCAGTAATTAAAAATAGTCCCGAGCGGGCTAAATCGCAGATAAAAGCCAGTTTATACTACGCATTTTTATAAAAAAGTTATATACCCGTAAATAAAATTAAACAAATTAAACTCTCCCTTAATTTTTATCGAAACTTTGCTGTCATTCGCCGTATTACACGATTTATGAGAATTTTTTGGTGTAAGTGATGGCATAATCTTCTCAGTAGCCGACACATACACATGTATGTACATATAAAGGTATACGTATGTAGTGGAAGGATATAACAAGGACAAAAGTGGAAGAGGAGGAGGTTAGAGGGGCTATCGGATCAGGTGTCGTATGTCACCGACTCAATGGGACGAAAAGAGCGCTTAAAGTGCCTGCTTATTGAAATCCAATTTGTTGGATCGACACCCTTTCACGCCAAAGGTGATAGATACGTAAATGCTGTTGCTGCTAGTTCTCCTCTTGTGCTTGCCAGCACCTCAATACATGTAGAAATTGCTGAACAGCTGCTTATACGGAATACTGTATGTTAATATGGAGATAACATCGTTATATGTAGTCGATAGCTCTACCATCTCAGGATATTCAGAGAAACTGAAACGGACCAGGAAAGAAAAAAAAATTGCTTTACGAAAACTACATGTTTAGTGTGTATATAAAGGTAAAGAAATTTAAATGTACGTAATCCAAATAAGAAAATTGACGACATCAAAATCTTACCTAAAACTTAAAATTAACGATAATTTCCATTTATTTGGAGTCTAATGAGGAAAATATTGACTGAGAAATAGGTGAATCAATTCGAATAACGAGAAGATAAAAACTGATGCATCTAATTATAAGAGAATAGGTACAAAATATTTTACTCTTTACATCATAATATTTCAGGATAATATTCAGGATACTTATTGAAATTGACATCAATCTTTGCCTCTTGGTTCCTCCTAATTAAGTTTACGAAAGATTCCAAACAATGTTTTAGTTTTGCCAACAGTCCTACAAATTTTAGTTGTGTAATAGACAGTAGTATAGATAGAGTACAGACTGGAGTTAACAATGCCTTCCAAAAAATACTATTATTCGAAATTTCAAGCACGAGTACGTTTAAGAGTCCATAACGTGTAGCATAGGTACTCAAGTTGTCACTCTCCAATTTTGGAAAATCTTGTTTCATTTGGTTTAACTCACTTCCTCAAAGCTCGCTTAGATTTTTTTGAGACATACTTGACAAAAGTACAAAATATTTGTTTGAAAGAGTATAGTCCAAGTATATTAATTACAAAAACATGTTGAGTTTATTACTATTACTACATGCTACTACTACAACATCATTAATTATAAAGGACTCATAGGAATAGGTATGTTCAGGTCTATTTTGTATACGTTTCAAAATATCATTCGTTCCTCTCATTATTACAGAAAGATTCACTGTAAACGTAGGTACATATGCATTATTTACTGACGATCGGTTTTGGTTGATCTTTGATACGTCTCCTATATATACGGGATTGTCCTTTATTGAAATATCCTGTATTCTGTGCGCTCCGTTTTTGTCCCATTTCATAATAATGACGACAAAATATTCTGCTTAATTATTTACATACCAAAAATCAAATAAAACTATATCCAATTTTACTTCACGAAAAAGACTTTGGGATTTGTTTATCTTTTACTAAATGTAGTCACAGTCTGTGCAAGAATTACGTCAACCCCATGGACCTTTATTGTGATGTGGACAACTGAAGCATGAAATTGTTACTTAACGTAAAAAAAATACAATTTTATAGGCAAATTCCTAATTGACAATAGGAAGCCCACTTCAAAAATTTAATTAATTTCCGCAAAAACTGATAATGACATGGGAAATTATCGCACAACCGCATTGTACAGACTGTATTATGATTTTGTAAGCAGAAAACAGCGAAATATCTAATTAGTGAATCTTCTCCCGTGGTTTTGTAGTCATTTACGTTAACAAAATCATGACAACGTTAC